TTGAATTATGTCTTGAATCATGTGTTGCACTGGACATAGCATCCTAACAGTAATGATTAAGGCCTGGTTATGAAGAACCTGAAGACGTTGATCGCTCTTCAAAATGACATCTGGCAGTGGGACATTTAGTCACCTTAAGCTGGTTGTAATAACTACTGAAGTATGAGAAATGTGTGAAGTAGATGTGACTTTTTCTTTTAACTAAAGACCAGCAGCAGTTTGTCACGATTATACCAAAAGCTCGATTTCTGTTGAACTTCCAGTAAGTTAATTATTCAAGGTTCACACGACTTCTCGTGTTTTTTGCTGCTTTTCACCGACAGAGGAGACTGTAAACGCAGGACAGAGTAAACTCTGTGACAGAGGAAAGCAGCTAAAGTCAGAGTTGTCTTAAAGTGGACACGCAGCGCTCATCCCCGTCCAACACTGACGCTCCTGTCCTCCCGTTAAATGGCGTTTACCTGCGTTAGCACCGCACAGCTACACCGCAAAACCCGGCTTTAACGCAAGCATTAGCCGGTTAGTCGACTATACAGCTAGTTAGACGAACTGAAGACAAACGATCGGTTGTCGACTACCGAGTGCTAGCTTACCAGCAGCTTAGCTTCTGCCCAGGCTAGCAATGAAATGGAGGACGTTAGCTCGCCGTCTCACCAGTGACCACGGCTCGGCGGGGCAAACAGCACCCGTGTTGGGTCAACCTGAGCTCCAGAACCTACCTGACTGCACGTCTGTGATCCTCCGAGGTGGCCTTCAATATCCACTTTATGTATTTACATTTGTAGAAACGCTCGTTCGCTCCCTGTCGCGAGCTGTCTCTCTCTCTCTCTCTCTCTCTCTCCGCCACTTCCTAGTGACGTGGAAGATTACCGTCTGAGCCACATCACTGCTACGGTGCGCCGCGAGGCTCAAACGCGAAGGCAATAATCCAGCCAAACCCCCTGAAAAAATCACACGATTGATCATGAAGGTCTCTTTAGGTTCAAAAATAGTCAAAAGCCATAAATTCTATGTTGGCATTTTGTTGTAAAAATGTTTTAAAACACAAATCATCGTGTACCTACAAGCTGTTTTTTTTTTCATTTGATAGATTAAGATTTAACCTTTATTGATCCTGCAGCAGGGAAATTTTAAGTGTTACAGCAGCTTTTATTCATACAGGGAAAAGCCTCAGTGAGAGTCTCTTTTTCATGGGTGCCCTGTGAGCATGACAATAAGCAGAAAAGACATTTTCAGCAATTACTAAAACACAGAACAAATACAGAATAAAATACAAAAGAATAGATATTTACATAGACTCTCACATACAGAATAAACGCCACAGACAATCAAAATAAAAACCCTCTATATATACAGGATAGACAATCATATGTTAGAGAAAGCTAATATTAAAGAAAACACTTACACTCACACTGCTCCATGTTGGACACCAGGACCTTAAACCTGTCAAATGGGATCATCTCATTTCAACAGGTTGTGAGTTTTGTTCCAATGCTTGGGTGCGTAATATTTAAAAGTTTGTTTCCTGATCTCAGTTTTAATGTTTTCCAAGACTATAAAATCTTGGGCCCTAGTTTGATGAGAAATTGATCTCTAATTAAAAAGACAAGTAAAATATTCAGGTAATTTTCCTAACGATGCTTTGTAGATGAATAAAATGCAACAGGACCTCAGTGACATTTATGAGGCACCATGTTCCAGGTTTGCTGTGAATTTTGTCTGGCTGTTGTGAGTCTCCACAAAATGATGCAAAACATTTGTGAGGCTGCATACATAGACGTTACAGACACATCAGAATATGACCCCGATAATTACCTGGGACTCCATAAAAATGTAGCTTAACTGCACTTTGGATGGTTCATTTGGTCAGAGTCATCTTGTGAGTTGTGAAAGTGTTCAACTAGCTTAACCTTCACATTATAAAACTTTAAAGCATTCCTTCTTTAAACATTTAACAAGAACTCATGTTTTTATGTTGCCTCAAAGTTGCCTGGTTCACCAGTCCTGTCTCCCTGTATCGTTGTATCACTACACAGATAATTCATTAAACAATTTATTAATTAAAAAAAAAAAAAACATTATTGAACTAAAGTTGAATTTCTTAAGGACTTTAAACAAATCCTAGAGCCACTGGCTACATATAAAGAGGAGTACAACAGCGTTTAATAGTATATGGCACCCTCCAGTGGAAGCTTATGGTCACTGACAGTGAATAGACAAACTCTAACACAAGTCTTGAAGTGAATTACTTTTAATGTAATGATCTTCACTTCACAGTAACAATCTGTGATCACGGCCCGCCAAAGCAAACAGGGTCAAAATCACAGAAATATTTGTTTTACCTCATTTCCAGAACTAAAAGGAACTTTCGTGACACACATGCAGAGCGAGCGGGTCTATTGATGTTTGCTTACGCAGGTATTGCTTATGCAAGAATAAACTACACTAGCTGTGTTCACATAATGAAAGGAGATGTCCGCCTGTGCAAAACAAAATCCTGTTATTAGTGTTATGTTGTGTATTTAGGACTGAGGAAGTCTACAACACATCACGCTGTCACTGCAGAGTTTTGCAAACCAGCGTTGTCAGTTATAAACCCCACAACAGACCGTATGCATTCCTACACCACTTCCAGTGTTTTGATAGTGTTTCTACTGATATACAATTTCACATGGAGGGAGTTATGATAAGAAGTCAAGAGAAAAGTGTTGACATCACATCACACCCTGTCAGGTAAAGAACAGCAGCTTCACAGTAAGCCTCTTACCGCTCAGGATGCCTTTTATAAAATTACTGCTCATCAATGGAATCTCATTCAACTTAATAAAGAAATTCTCTTCTTGGTTTCTCTGACGCCAGCAAGTCCATATTGTACCATTTAGATTGTCTTAAAGGAAGACAGGGACATGACATTTATAGTAAATCTCACAGAAAAAAAACTTGTCATGGTGGTGAGCAGAATACATGCAGTGGAGTTAATTTATTTTCCTCATACATGATTTGTTGCTTCATACATTTACCGTAAACATGGAGGTTACAGAATTGCCTTCCCTTTCCATTGACCTTCTTCAGTGCAGACATTTTGACTTTTCAGGGCAGCAGAGACACAGGTGTCACTAATTACATCAGAGATGGCTCCAGAGAGCCAGCATGCACAATGCAAGGGCTGTGGAACGGGCGAAATTAAATTACACGCAGTCAGTGTTAATTTTATTAATTGCACCTGTGCTTTTCCTGTTGTGTCATGTCCAAATTTCTCCAAATATCTCTTAGCCGTCTATTGCAGCAGTCCAAGATTTGCAGTTGATGGCATCCCAGTACAGTTTGTCCTCTGTTGTTGTACATGACTGGACAGTTTAGTAGTTTATTAAATTGTTTGTTTTCTTGGAACGTGTATCGGTACCATCAGTGCTTCAACCGGAAGTCTTTTTCTTTCATGATTTAAGAATGGTTTCAAACGTTAAGACAAAAATACTTAATTTTTATTTATTTAGACGTATAGTAACAGAATGCCACATTAAGTCTTTTTTAATAGTAGACATCAAACTGCATAATTTATTGCCCTTAAGTGTATTTTAATTTCTTTTAATGTACTGATTGAATGGCAATAAAGTAATCTATCTATCTATCTATCTATCTATCTATCTATCTTNATCTATCTATCTATCTATCTATCTATCTATCTATCTTAATTCTCAAGTTAATGTAATTTTTCTGAGCAATACAAAGCACAAGATTTTCCTTTGAAGTTCTTAATAAAGTGTCATCTTCTCTTTCTCTAACATGACATTTATTATATTTACATATTATATATATACATATTATACTACACTGTAAAATGATTTCATTAAGTTTGAAAAAAATAAAGACTTAATAAAAACACAAAACTCCAGCAGACACTACAGTTAAAAAAAAATGGCATACATTTTTGGCAGGATTTATGATTTTGATTTTAATTAGGCTACACACATTTTCCTCATTTTCACATGAAAAAACGCAATATTTACAAAAATTAAATGTGTTGTGTATCCCCAACTCCATGATATCAGCAAGTCTGTACTTGTTAAACCTGCCTGCACTGTTATTCACTTCATTTTAATAAGTTCGTTTCTATTTTATTGTACACTTTATTATTATTATTATTATTATTATTATTATTATATTATATATTATCTCTTACATGCTTTTATTTTTCTCATCTCTTGTCTTTTTTAGTCTGTACATGTTAAGCACTTTATGAATATGTGTGCACTTCATTCAGCTTGTCTGTACTGTTTTTGATGGATGTAATTCAGCTGGCTGTACATAACTTTGAATAACATTTGTGTATGACGAGGTGCTGTTTAAACAATCCGGCTTGCTGGTACAGAGTTGAATTAAAACAGGTACACAATGTGGTTAAAACAACAACAACAGTTTACAGATTTGCACACCTACAAATAAAAGCCTCAGAGCAATAAAATATTTCTCTGAGTAAAATGCAAAGCGTGGCGCCACTGAAGTCCTGAGCTGTGTTGTTTGTTTTTCTGCGATCAGTTCAATCGACACTCGTCTACTTCAGCGAGTTCAGGGCAGGCGAAGCAAACGATCGCAGAGCAGCATGATGCAGCGACACGCAGTGGTGACCGAGTGTGGAGGCTTTAAAATCCAGTTAAAGACTGGAAAATATTATTTTAATTACACAGTTAGTAAAAATTAAGTATGACCATGCTAATTAAAACCAACCAAGCTACGAGAAGCTCTGGAACTGGTACCTAAATAATTTTTATTATTGCCTAAATGAGGCTATTATTTCATAGCAGCAACGACGGTACACGTAGCTTCTGACATTACTCAACTTTTCGCGGAAATTAAATAGTTTTAATCATATTTCCTTTACAGCCACAAAGCATACTGATAATATTATATGAGCGGCCCAGCTCGGGATTGGTTCAGAGATCCACATCACAAAAAAAAGCAAAAAAAAAAAAAAAAGCCCTAAAGGTCCGAGTTGTGTCCTGTAGGCGGCGACAGAGAGCGCCGTTTCTGTAAAAACAACATCTCACCTTCTTTCTTCAGTCCAAGTGCTGGAGCACGTTTGAGTGACCATGGAGTGCGTTTGCTGTCATGTAGTTGAGCGTTAATACGGCGTGAACAGCAGCGGAGCGGGGGGACTGTTAGCGCGGACACCAGGAGCCTCGGGTCGAGCCATGGCTGCACGGGAGGAAGGAGAGGTTCTGCACGGCAAAACACGGCACCACGACGGAGCTGCTGCTGCCTCTGCCGCCGCCGCTGCTGCCGCTGCTGGAAGTGTAAACAGCTCGGAGGGCTTCAGGAACGGCTATGTGAAGAGCTGCGTCACCCCCCTGAAACAGGACCATCACAGGGGCTTTTTGTTGAGCGTGTGCAGGTTTTGCAACGAGGACGTTCTCAATTCCAAACTGCTGAAGGTCTCTGCCCTGTACGTCGGCGCGTTCGTCGCCTTCGCGGTCTCTCTGCTCATTTCTAGGAGCTTGCAAAGTGACTCGCTGTGGGATTTGCGGACTTTCCTGTCGGGCTTCTCCCAGTCCATCAGCCCTCTGTTCAGCATAGGATGTGCTTTCTTCTTCCTCACGTTCTACCTGCGCAGGAGAAAGAAGGAGAGCAGCAAATGTTGGCTCCTGTCACTGCCAGCGTCGTGCTACCTCGGGGATTTTTTGGTTTTGCGCTTCTTGCAATGGGGAGAGGAGCAGCACCAGATGCAAATGGTGGGCAGGTTGTTATTCGTGCTGGGATGTGTGGGTCTGCTCACGCTCATCCCGACGCTCAAACTCAAACACAGCGTCCTCATCCTGGTGTTCGCCAGCGTCGTGTGGCTGGTGTCGTTCACAAGTTTGAGCGCTCTGCCCGCGCTGCTCAGACCGCTGCTCGCCTGCGCCGCCGGGGTCTCCGGCTCGCTGCTGGGGCTCTGCTTCGACCGCTACTACCCGTCGAGGGAAGCGCCGAGTGGGATTTCCAGCGCCGAGGAGAAGGTGCCCGTGATCCGACCCAGGAGGAGGTCCAGCTGCGTGTCGCTGGGGGAGACGTCCACCAGCTATTATGGCAGCTGTAAAATGCCCCGCAGACCCTCGTTGCCCTGCATATCCAGAGAACAGGTAGGTGTTTGACCCCCCCACCTCCTCCTCCTGTTGTTGTTGGAGGGTTTTATTTTTATTTTATTTTTGCAAACGTAGGCCTGCTGGTCATCCAACACGTGTGCATGAGTGGAAAACACCCACCGTCATGTCATGGAAAAAACAAGTAATTTGATCAAATTATGAGCCTAAAATCTGAAATGTTGTTCAGGAGAAGGCAGCAGTGCAACACCAGCGTTATGACACAGGCCTGCATGTCCAACAAGGGCTTTTCTCTGTAATAATTATTAACAAAAAAACCACCTCTAATAAATCACTGTTTACAGCCTGCTCACCTGCGACCGCTATCTAATCAGCCTCTCCATTTTATTGGGATTCTGTTCATTTAAAAGCTGCCACAATAACAGCACGAGGCCAGTGATGTGGCCTCCAGTCCCACAGAGCTGTGGCTGTCAACAACACACTGTAAGCACACGGACGATCCACAGTGTCCACAACACACACACTTTCCTTTTTTCTTTTCTTTCTTTCTTTGCTTGTACACACAACTCTAAGAACACACCGTCGTCTACACCAAGCGATGCTCGCTTTCCCACTTTGCATTAGTTTTGAAAAACAATCCACCGATATCGAGTGGTGCCCCCACACAGAATGAAAAGACTATCAGGTTGCATACAATATGTCACACACACACACACACACACACACAAAAAAGCTGACGCAAGCTGTTAATGTAGACAAACGACAACATTATAGACAACAATGTATTTAAGGAACAAAGCAGGCTTTTCTTCACTGGATGCCAAGCCATCGGGTCACACACATTGTTTGTGTGTCCTTCGAGGTTTGCGTGGAATGATAAGAGAACTAAAAATGTATATCCAGTTGTGCCATTTCCAGCAGTTGTTTTTCACCTCATTGTGTTTGTGTGTGTGTGCCGTTCAGCAGATTAGTGGTCACATTGCATTAGGCCTCAAACTGAGCATGAACGTTCAAACGGAGACGACACGGCGGATCATTTAGGAGTGAAACTTAGACCCTCATGCAGAATATTTACATCCCAGAATGCAACTTGTACACATCGAAGCAGCCATGTCTCCCCTGTTTCCAACATTTTCCAGCTGTTTTATGTAGAAAAGAAATATATTTATATCAGAAATATGTCCCTGCAGAATTATTTGCAAAAACAAAGAGTTTGCGTCTCGTTCTGTGCCACATCTAGGCAGCGACCGCACGCAGGACATTAAAGACACCAGACGTTATCATTGTCAGCTGAAACAGAATATTGGTTGTGATCAAACAAACCACATGCTTTTTATTTTGCAATCAGGATAATCTGAATAGGAAGCAGCTATTAGTTATGTTGTCGTCACACTGTCCTGGCATTTCTGCTGGAAGGCAAAATCAAGAAAAACATGAACCAGTCCACCATATATCTGTTCAGGGGAGCTTCCTCTGGCACTTGCCGGTTAGCTGAATTAAAGTTTGAGTTGCTTGTGAGTGTGTCTGTTTATCCCCGTGGTGCAGCTGGTGCTCACAGTGTAACAGCAAAGTTAGCAAAAAACAGCTCATGATACGGGGAAGAGGTGCAAGTTTGAGCTGTAAGAAGCTGTTTTCCTCCCCGGCTGTGATCTAATAAATATAAAAGCTGTAAACCGAGCATGAGACATAATCATATAACTGCTCCGTGTAATAACGTACGACTGAGTGATGATTTTAGACAAAAACCGACAGTTTGTGCGTCAGAGGCAGGCAACAAAAAAAAAGAAAAAGAAAAGAAAAGAGGCACAAAGAAAGCGTCTGAAAGGAGTCACTCAGGGTTCACTGGTGATGTCACACACGTTCTCCGTCTTCACACACGTTCTCCAGCCTCCTTTCTTCTGTCGGACGGGGTCGCCGCTTCGTGTCTTCGAGACGATGGGGGTGTTTTTCTAGCGCCGGTAGCAACATGTGGTTTTACGTGCAGCAGAGTTCAGCACGGCGTGTCGACTTCTAACATCGTATGGATGTTTTGGTTACAGTCACGAAAACAAGTTAAACCAAATAGTTGAAATCACATTTCTCTGATCATCCGAATCCTTTTGGTGACTCTGTTCCAGGCGGTTATTTATCAGGTTGTTCTTCTCACACAGAAATGCAGTTTAATTAATTCTATATTGTACCTCAGCAGCTGTACTTTTGCGCTCTCGCTGTTGAACACCAGGAGTCAAACCCACGGCCAACAACCTCTAAAAAAACTGATAATAATGTAAACAGAGCTTCCCTTTTTATCTCTGGGAAATGACCGTTTTATAGCCGGGGCCATGCAGAAAATAGTGGATCTGGCAGAAGAAATGCCCGTCGACTGATTCTTACTCGTGATGACGCTCCTGGTGTGTTAAGTTTTGCAGTAATCGCTACAACAAACCCGTCCGGGGCTAAAACTGAGCAAAGTTTACACTCAGATGTGAGCGGTTGATGTCTTACTGTTCCTATAATTCATATTTTACTCGTTGTTAAAATCTTTTATGTCTGTGTTTGAGCCGTCTGATGTGCTCTGCGTCGCCGCTCCATTAATATGGGTGCAGACTTTTTGCAAGTCGACACCGTCATGAATATTCTAAGCAGAAGCCGCTCCGGACAATGGACCTCCTCTGGCCTGAGAGACACCGGGGGCCAGATGTATAAATAATGTGTATGCACAAAAAGCAGCGCGTGCGATATTTTCCAAAGCGGTGTTTATGATCAGACCGTAGGCGGCGAGGACGTGAACGCCTCACTTATAAATCAGACGAGGCGTTCAGTGATGGGTTCAATGATCAGGTGGAGATTAAACACAAGAGACGGGAGCTCAGACTGTAGCGCTGCTCAGGTGTTTCTGTTTTAATCGAAGGCTCGTTTAGTCTTAAATTACTGTTTGTGTGTAAGAAACTGTGGTACTTGTTGTTTACACTGGAGCTGTGGTCCTTTAATTTCATCTGTGAAGTGGCTTTATTAGTAAAGTCTGTTTCAATAGAGGAGCTGTTAGCGATTAATTGATCATGATGTTTAATCTTAATAACTGTGGTGACGGTGGTTTACAGATTTGTGAGGTACAGGTGGAGCAGATTGAATTTTCGGGAGCAAAAACTGATATTAAAAAGAGGAAATTAATTTACTTTCTAGCAATGTGTTCAACAAACTTAGCATAAAGACACCGCTTGGCTCGGCACCGACGTCTGCTCGGCTCTGCTGCATGCGCTGCACACGGTGTTATTGGGACAAACTTCTTCTAAATTACACCAAACATCTTGTCCTGTGTTGTGTTCTTCACATCGTCACGTATTAGACGATATATTTACTGATAGGGCGACGCTGGATAAAATGGGTCGATACCCGGGTCGGGTTCTGCTCGTAAACGGTCTCCTGTGAAGGCAGCTGTTCTGCTGATGCGACACAAATAGTTAAACTCTTTTATGCTCCTCTCGCTGACGGCTCTAATACGTTTTATGGCCGGCTGCGATAGAGGAAATGAGGGTTGTTCGCATGTGCTCAGCTCCACAACGACTGAGATTTATTCAACACAATCAGCAGCTTTAGAAACCGAATTGAAAAAATAAAATTAAAAAAAGCATAATTGAAGTATTCAGGTGAGAGTTCAGGGAATAGTTGAGCTAAAACAACATTTGCAGGATTTCTGAGCGGTTCTTGCACCGAAAACACAAAAAAAACGGCAGAAATTTGTTTGTAGATTCTCTTCATCGTTTTCCTCCTAATGTTTAAATCGATTTACTGAATTAAAGTCGATTGATTTGGTTCTGAGTGTTTCTTCAGCCACCGTAAGTTACTGCTCACACAACACAGACACACCCTCGCTGTTAATTGTTACAGGCTGCGCAATGTAGACAAAGTAATAAAATAAAATATACAGCGGATTAGCCTCCGCTAGCAGGCTGTTGTGTTTTTAAAGGCGCACCGAGGACTTTGTGGCCTGTAGCGGTGCTGCAGAGCGACTGTCTGTCTGTTGTTGTGTTACAACGTGATGCTGCACATATGAAGCAGGTCTAATAATTTAGCTCATACTTCTCATAATTTTAATGACAACTACATGCAAAATTGGATCATCTCAGCGGTCCTAAAGGTCAACTAGATGCCAGCAAATGAAGGGAAAAAGACAAAAAAAGGCTTTTTATCTTACGAGGTTGGAAGTGACACGACTTTAATCACATCTGTTGCACTTTTTTAGTCAGAAAGTTGTAAACGAAGCTAAATTTGTGTCGAACTGCAGACGCAGTGTTAATATAAATGAGTTTAATGAATTTAAAAACCAACACTAACAGTTTGTAAAACTAAATGACTGGATGCCGTATAGAGTTTAACGAACATCAGGCGTGCACCGGAACCGATGCAACAAGAAAATTACATTTTCCCTTTTCAGCAGCAGTTTGTCTTTATTTTAAGTACCTGTGTGTTTCCACCGATCGTGAGATTTGCAGGAGTTTGATTTTGAAAGACAGCGACGCGACGTGCTCGTACGAATCAGTGCTCTTAAGTTTCAGGTGTTTTTTGTGAAGACCGAGACGAGCTCATGCATTTCATTTTTAAACTGCGATGTGACCCAACAGTGGCTCTTTCTCACAATGCCACCTCGACTTTTCTCAGCGTGAACTTTGCAAAAAAAAAAAAGGTGTAATCTGCATATTCTAAATCGGCTTGTCTGCATGAACGAACAGAGAAGTTCTACCTGTGTTTTAGAAAAAACCCTCCTTAAAGGTCAGTTTCTCCGTTTTCTTTGCGTGCGTGTGATGTTGTGCAACGCTGATGTTTTCGCTGTACGTGTGATCCTTAAATGTGTCAGGCTGACTTGGAAGGAAACCCGTCGTGGTCGCTGCCGGTTTAAATCCACACGATGTTTTTTTTCATTCAGTCTGTTCTAGTTTCAGTTCATGTCAATTCTCAGGTTTGTGTTTTCCCGCCACGGTAACTCTAAACCTCCTGCACAGCCCAGAACTATCTGGGCCGACTGCGACTGCCAGGGGTCAGACTCACCGGATCCGACTGCA